ATTATCAGAGTGGTCGGGGCAACATAACTCATCAAAAGGAAATAATCGAGAAGCACCGCTCCTAACGTCCTTTTCCGGAGACTCCATGACTACATGGTGGTCCGATGACAAGCCTGGCTCATTCCCGCGGTTGGTGTACATTCACAAGAGAATGGTAATTAGATGTAAACGCAAGCGAAATTTGGCCTTCACGGGGAGGCGTTCAAAATGCGGTTTGAAAAGTCGAAACAGCCTTGACGTTGAACACCAAAATCGATAAAAGAAGGGTGGCTGTTCGATGCGCACCTGCTGTACTGAATGGATATATATAATATGGCCTAAAACTCCAGCTGTATCGTCAAAGAGCCTGAAATGAAAGTTGTGCAACGCGAGCAAAAGAGACTAGATCCACCAAAGGGTCTAACTGCACGAAGACGTTGGCAGGATGGGGAGCTACCCAGTCTGCCTGAGAAATTGAAGAGAAATCGTAGCTTGGATGGATCCTGGAGCAGTGATGCGGAAGAGCTAGAGAAGCAAGGGTAGAATTCAAGAGCAAGCTAGAAATGAGGAGGATTAAGAATATGGCGCATAGAGAGGGTTGGTGGTGTTTAAGATAGAACAATCGAAAGCTAGAATGTGATTACGAAAGAATACAAAAATGAAATGGAGAGAGAAAAGTGAAGAGAAAGAAAAGAAGTTGAAGTTTGAGATGAAGATGTAGATGAAGATGAAAGAGGCCAAGGCGATAATAATATGGAGAAGACAGAATGCGGCAAGTGCAGTGGAGATCAACGGGAACGGATATGGCTGGGCTCGGTACGGTACGGAACGGAACGGTACAGTATGGAAATACAGATATTACAGGAGGCAGAAATTTAGGGAGTATATAGGGCGGGCAGCAAGGGAAGCTTATTGGAAGTTCTCGTGATATCGGGGTAATAATGAATAATGTACGGGGTGTGGTACTACGTATTTGGGTATCAATAGTATGTAAGTGTTAAGTGTGATCCAGTTAGTTACCAAGTAGAGGTATTTGTAGCTAAGAATAACATCACCAAGTCTGCTTCTGACACTGTCCTCAGGCAGCTCTTGGATAGCGATGCTATTTCTGCACACGCGGACACCATTTAGCAGCCCGTCACAGGCCCACGAGTCACAGCCCTGCATCCACTACTAGAAATTCTCCCGGGGCAGCCCGATCAAATAAAATAATAATAATTAGTAGAACCTGTCCAGAGTCTATCTGCTAGAAAGCGAAAGACCTGAGACCTTTAACCCCACCTGACCTTATTATATAAGCAGACCTCACACAATAACTAACTAGTAGCTAACTAACTAGTTATAACCAGTTAAGTTAATATGTTATCATTTGAGAATTTGATAATTGAAATTTCATTTTCATTTAAATAATATTTACTTTTTACAATTATAATTAAATTATTTTTTAATTTTTTAATATATAATTTGATTTTTTATTATATATATAAATTTATATTAAATATTTATTAAATATAAAAAATAAATTTATTAAAAAAATATAAAATATAAAATTATATTTATATATTTTAATTAATTATGTTCTTAATAATTTTTTAAATATTTTTAAATTATATATAATTATATAAATTAATGTAATATTTTAAATAATAAATTTTTATATTTAATTAATTATAATTTATTATTTATTATAATATATATTTATTAAATATTTAATTTATTAATTAATATTATAATTTTATTATTTATAAAATTTACTATTATATTAAAATTTAAAAAGTTAATAATAATATTAATAGTATTAATATTTTTATTTTATTTATTAAAATTAAATATTTAAAAAATTATATATTATTTAAAATATTTAAATAATTTTTTTTTTAATTTTAATAATTTAATAATTTTAATTTATAACTAACTAATAATAATAATAATAATAATAATAATAATAATAATAATAATAATAACCCTAATAGGCTAATAAAACACTGTACTTTGTAATATATGTTGGATGTGTGTTACGTGTGTAGTGTGTGCGTGTGTAATATCACACACTGGGCCTGTCTCTTATAGAGTTATTGACGCCGCCATCGAGACCAGTCTAGATCTCTATCGCCCAGAAACACCAAATTGACACTGTCACACGTTTCGCTTGATACAGATTCTCCAGCCAATAATCCATGGATACGATACAGACATCCAGCAGCATATTTGCATCCCTCGCCACAAAGAAAAGAGCAGAAAGGAGCCCTACAGACTGTTTAGTACGGAGTAGTGCGGATATCAACCATTGGAAACAATCCCGAAGCGAAAAACAGGAATAATATGCTCTGTAAGTGTGGGAATAAAATCAACCACATGCGGTCCAGAGTAGGCTGTCAAATGTTTTGTTATTTACACTCTATATATATAGTCACATTTTTAACGGGCTGTTCGGGAGCCAGTTGTTGGTTGAAAGATCCCGTTGGTCAATCGTCCGATGCCCTGTTTCGGACTTTGTTGATCCACCAAATGCAGCTCGAAGAGCAAGAAAATGATAAAAGAAAAGAGAAACGGAAGAAGAAGAAAGGAAAGGAAAACTAACCGGAGAGTAATATCGCCTGGTATAATCAACCGAAGATAATAATAATAAAACCAACCCTGGAAAAGGCAACCCTCGTGTTTCTCTGTTATTCTTTTCTTGTCTCTGTTGTTCGTTTTGACTTTTAAAAAAATCGAACGTCGCAACCCAAGCCCTTGGACTCGCTGAATTCAAAAATGAGAGAGAGCTTAACGTTATGTGTTGCAGTTTCAAAACCACTAATTCAATAGTCATCCCCGTCTACCTCACGGTCACCCTTCGCTACCCTGTAGTCATGCCCAATAAACTTGCATACACAGAGATGTTGACGAAATGGCCAAATGGGGGTATTAGACCGGGGTGAGACGGACCGCTCTCGTGCATGTTTCAGGGAGAATGCCTGTTCACTCTTCCCGCAGACCCTTGGCCCCAACATCGGCCGGTCTGGGGGATGTTAGGGAACGAGGAAAACCACGACCCCTCGCCTGGTTCGCGATGAGTTGGCGATTGTCACGGCTGCTGGGATTTTCAACACCTCCCCCTTCTCCCAGATTTTAATTAGCATCATATTAGTTGAAGGGAATGTTAGGGGATTTGCCGTCACTCATTGAGACACTTCAGGAAGAAGAAGATTGAACCTGAACTGCTAGCAACAAAAAACAAGTTGGTACAGTTGCGGAGTACTCATAACTAATTCAAGCACGCTCTGATGATCTATCACCGCCATCACATGCCGGTCGCTGCTTAGCGGTTCTAGCCTGGGTAGGTGAGGTATTGTCTTTTCGTTTAGGTCAGGGAATTTTGTTATTTAACCCTTGCGCTGGACCGCTGGTCGGCTACTCCGTACTAATCAGCTTGATCAAACTTCGACATCTTGAGTTCTTCTTTTATTGTGGGTCTCTTGGTAGTTAATGCTATGGGCATTTGAGGGTTCGTGCAAAAACAAAGTTAGAAAATTAGCATGAGCGCTTTGTTGACGCCGAAAATCAAAACCAGCCTGAGACGGGGTTTAATTGGCAAAAGGGCCAAAAAAGAAACTTATTGTAACCATCGAGAATTCTAGAGCGTGTGAAGCAGAAGGTCGGGATGGTGGTCTGGCCTGGAAGAAAGAAAAAAAGAAAAGAACAAAATAACGGTTAAATGGGAGCAAAATCGAGATGTTACCCATTAATACTCGAAATTCGAGGCGACCCAACTGAGCTTACTCGATTTAAAAAGGGGGTTGTGATCCATTCGGCGGGAACCATTCCATGACTCCACGGTACGAGGAGAAAAGAAATATGGGGCTGAGGGGCAGTGAGCACGAGCAGTGAGGGGAACTTAAAACCCCAGCAGCTCCGCCATCCGCCCCGCAGTTCGACAGACCAAACCCCGTACGTTGAGACGACGGCATTATTTATTGATTGTATTGTTTCATCATTCCAGCAGATTCTATGAATGTTTGGAATTGCCAACTGGGGGTATCCGAATAAGAACTTTGTCTATGGACTTGGGATTTTCTGGACCCTAAGTTAATCTTTTGAGAGTCATATCTTGCGTGTCAAATGTTAGTAAACCATGGCTCCTGGTTAGTATTTCAGTGTCTAGAGTGGGCCGTCAAGAGATACAAAATTTCGCCTCCATATGGGAAACGTAACATGGGAACCCGGATGACACTGGGATTGATGTTCAATCATAACTATATAACTGTTTTTCTTCTAGTATTCCTTCGAATATTTCAAATATCCATGGATCAAACCAGTGTACACAGCAGAATTACAGAGCGTTTCTAGTTTGTTTCTGGAGCATGTCATTGTTTCGTATAGCCCAGAAGATGGCCTGAAGGACACGATGCATGCAGTAAACCTATGTTTCTAGCAAACTGTGGTGACAGTTAACAGAGAAGAATCTTGTACATACGACGTATGTACGTTATAAGAGACCAGAGTGAATGGGGTTTGCTTGTTGGATTTCTCAAACATTGGCTCAACTCCCTTTATGACAAACATAGCTGTTCACCGACAACATCAACATTCATCTTATGACTTGAAAGGGATCTGCTAATAAGTGATGGAGATTTAGAGATCCAGGTTTGCGGGTGGGATCTGAGAATTCTGCCCGCTACAACCCGTTTGAAGTCTTGGAACATATTGTTTTGGAGGGGTGCATGGGGGCCTTCATCTTTTAGATGACTGGAAATGTCAAATGGAAGTGACCTTAACGCATCTTTGGTTAAACCCGAAAATGCCCTTTTGAATCACAGTCAACTATATCTGAAATAACTGTTCCTCGCTCTACGTCGGAACGGGAAATTTAGCGCAACCTCGGGATCCATGCATCTCGTGTATGGACAAGGGGTATAAAACGAAAGATTATTATTATCTAGTATAGACGAAGGAGGGATATGGGTTATGCATGAGGACAATACGTATGCAGGAGTCAGCTCTAACAAATATTTCCGAGAGTTAAAGCAAGAGGGATATAGATGAGTAAGAATGTCGAACAGATACGGCAAGAAAAAGTGCTCAGATCTCCGTTCCTTGCAAAGGATCTAGCTGTTCAAGGCTCCTTTATCCACAAAAAAGGCGGGTTTCAAGAACAAGCCTTCAGGAGCTCCTCTTATCATCCCTTACAAGTCCTGGTTCGCGTCAGCCAAAGGAAAGAAGAGGAAGGAAAGAAACCATGGATAAAAGCACAGGATTACGATGGAGAGCCAAGGGCAGTTTCCCCGAGGCAAATGAATGCTCTAACCATCACAATGTCGGCACTATTCTCCGAATACACATCTGCAGCGGGGGAAATTATTGAGGTACCGCTAGGCTTCAAACGAAGCTGCAGCCAGCAGCTGTTCGAGTGGTAGGAGCAGCTAGTTCGTCCGTTGCCGTGTAACTAACTACTAATGCACAGGTCTCGTCATGGATCAGGATGGTTGGATGTGGCTGCGAACTGCGGCCCACAATGATGGACCGTGGTGACCCGGTGACTTTGTATTTCATGTTGGGCAGGCGGCTCGTATCTTGTTTCGAGCACTCTAGACCCCATAAACCATATGGAATCGATGGATAACGGCATATCTCCGTTGCTTTCAGGAAGGCTGTGAACTGTTCTCCCATAAGCCCCCAACAGTTTTGAGTTCGCCGTCCAAAGGGACTTCCATGTTGTCACCTAGGATAGTTGCCTCATGCGAAGGGCTACAATTTTGAGATGCTGATGATCAATGATCGATGATGACTTAAACTAAATTGTATTCAGTGTGGAGAACACCGAGATAACAAATTACCGCGCCAAAAGCCACTCGGCAGTCGCCAGAAGAGAGGGGAGTTATGAATCATAGTGCAAGACAAATAAAACTCAACGACGAAACCATGAGTCGAGATCGACAATGGAATTGGTTGGCCGGTTCGCCCTGTCACCTGGGCCTCCTTTGCCTTTTTGATTAACGAGTTCTTCTTTTTGGGTGGAGCAGTTCGCGCAACATGGACTCTGGACGGAGACATTGATACAAACAGAACCAGCCAATAGCAGGCTATTTTTGTTCATTCTCACCCCAGCCAAAGAAAACTCCGTTGGTATCTTGACATCAATCAGGCGGGATAAAGGCAGGTGATTCGTTCGATAAGAAAAAAAAAAAAAAAATGTATGGTAAATGATAGTTAAATGTCGCTGGGGCGAGAAGTATTCGATCCAAAGGGGCGCGCTCGCTCGTGTGGGCCGCTGGAAGCTTGGAGGTTTCATATTTGTCATACCGTGGCAGCCAATCCCCTATTTTACTCGGCTCTTTAATGGGAGGATTATCGAAAAGAGCGGATGCGCGAACGGTGATCATGATCACGATTCATTTTCTGCTCTTTTTTTGAACACGCTTCCATGCGGTGCGGAGAAAAGTTCCCGAGATTGGCATCGTCTTTATTTTCCTATTTTCGATTGGCCATGTTATGCAGGGTAACGTTATCGGTCTAGATCTCCGTATGAGGGGATGCCGTTTGGTGTGATGCAGATAAACCATGCAGTCGGTTGTTGGTCGTCATCGACCATCATTCCCCTCGCATTTTCACCGATCTATGTGGAAGCAAAGCACATCTTGTATATGCTTTGGAAAATACGATGTCCCTTCAACGTAACTACGGGAAGGATAAACTCAAGTTTCGTCCCAGCTCGAGGGGGTTAAGAGCGTTAAGAACAATCTGGATATAACGGCAACAACTTGAACTGGAACCGACGACAAACAAGCAATATTATAACGAGTTACAGAGTACTAGCGCACGCTTTTCCTTTACCACTAACCGAGCCCTATAAACGGGCAATATTTTGCTCCTTTTCTGCTAAGGAAAAAAAAAAAAAAAAAAAAAAAAAAAAAAAACATTTGGGGGCCCGCCCGCTTAGTACACCATGTCTTATATTTTTTTTTTTTTTTTTTTTTTTTTTTAGCAATAATAGTACATTATTAGAACCCGAGAATGT